ACGAAATGTAGCGCACAGCATATATAGCAGTATAATAACACATTCATACAACGCAAGTTGGTAGATAATCATGCAAATACCACCCCCCATCCCCGGAGTGTCCTCTTTTTTGAATGTTCAAATATGGTAACCTTAACTGATCAGAAAGGATCAAAAATCTTATATAAGGCAGAGAACTAACAGGCTTGGGTGTGGGTGTGTGAGCGAAGCAGGAGAACAGCAAAGGACCAGCAGGAGCTTTTAAGGAGAGTAAATATAACCATTTTAAAATCCAGAGGATGTCTGTGTAGGATTGTAAATAAAGTTGGATGTCTGCATCTGAATGGATTTTTACCCGACCCATTCTATGATTGCCTGATCACCACTCATAGAATGTTTAGTCATGTATTTTAATATGCAATATTTTAATGCTGTCTTATACATATATATATAAGGGTTCTGTATGTTATATTGTAACAGGTTTGGTACTATATTGTAACATTGTGTTAAGGCTTTATATATGTTTTTATTTCATTTGACCAAATCCAACTTGTTGTGCTTTGACTTATAATCACTTAAAATCTATCTTTTGTAGTTAATACATTTGTTTGTTTATTCTACCTGAAGCAGTGCATTTGGCTTGAAGCATGTCAGACTCTCCCCTTGGGATAACAACCCTGGTACATATCAATTTCTTTGTTAAATTGACAAACTCATATAAGCTTGCAGCGTCCAGCGGGCATAACTGGACACTGCAAGACGGAGGTTCCAAGGGTTGTGTTTGGGACCAGACATATTGGCTAGTGTCATTCAGTTGCACAATCCAAGCAGCGGCTGGCCAAAAGTGCTCACTCACGGAGTTGGGAGCAGCTTACATGCTAGAGGCTGTGCGTGAACAGCCCGGTAGTGGGGGTTCTCACAGCAGAGCAGGGTAAGGCTGGCTCCCAGAGTCGAGGACTGGAGTGACCTAGCAGATCACTGGTCCAGATAACACCAGAAGAACATCACACCCTTCTAAAGAGATTTTGCTTTACTTTCTTGTACAGATAGCGACCACCAACTTCTCTCCCTAATGAATGATAATCTCCCTTTTTGAGAGAGAATTTTATTTCTGATGGGTGAGGATTACGTGTTTGGAACAACATGGTTGTAAGACTAAAATGGACCCCAGACATTCGTGACACATTATCTAGGAGATTGGAAGACTCTTAGATTTTTCAGAGATGTAATAATTATGTCCGAGAATTCCTCTCAAATTTGCGAATGATATAAGTTGCTGGTAAAGTCCTTACAATTGCTTGTCTCTAAACAAATTGATTTTGGTTTTAATTATCCCAAAAATGCTTTCAAAGATAAGCGTACTTGGTTTGATGAGGACTGTGTGAAGGAAAAGTTTACTCTAGCACATAAAGCTAATAGGGTAAGATGCAGTCCCTCTCCTAACTTACTTCCTAATTTAGTAGCCACCAGAAGAGGATATAAAAAATTATATCAAAAGATCAAGAATATTTCAGATCCTAGTGGAAGGATTTTGAAGCAGCAGCTAAAGTAAAACATTTTTCCACATTTTGGAAGATGATAGCCTCGAGCTCTGGTAGATCCAACTGAGGATCCCCATACTAATGACTGAGCACATTTTGGCCAGGTCTTTAATGATTCTCCCTGCCCAATTCTTTAAATCTAATTCTACTATACTTGATGTAATGAGGAATCCTCTCTTTGATTTACCACTCTGTCTTCCAGTAATGTACAAAAAAATCAGTCAGTTATTTTAGCCCAACAGCAGAAAAAAGCTCCAAGGGAGGATTTCTTCTTTCTGAAGTTTTTTGGAAGAATCTTGATTGGTGGTCCACATTCCTGGCTAAATTATTGACTGTCATGAATCACGCTGGATGGATTCTATCTGGCTGGAAGTCTAGTATCATAGTTCCTATTTTTAAAAGGGGGCACAGAAAGAATCCTGCTTCATAGAGACCTACGAGTCTGGTAGATGTGGCACAGAAAATTTATTCCAGATTTTTACTATCTAAACTTTAAATATGAATTTTGGACACTAATTTACCACATTAGAGCAGTCTGGCTTTAGGGCTGGTAGAGCCACAATTGACAAGAGTTTTATCTACATGATTTATAAATATCATCTAGTGCTCTTAACCACAGTATACAGCGTATGCTGTTCTCATAGATCTAAAGATGGCATTTGATGCTATTAACCAAGAAACTTTGGGCAGAACTAAGAATGATGCGTATTGATCTAAGACTTTTGTATATTCTAGAGGCTCTACATCAGAGCAATATGACAAATGTAAGAACTAAAGTCAATGGAGACTGTAGTAACATTTTCCCCTACTTTTCTAGTATGTCTTTTTAATTTATGTATTAATGATTTGGTGGATATTTTAAAGATAGATAATTTCCTGATGGTCTGACATGAAAGTCCTTTACCACTGCATAGGTTGCCTCTCCACTGAACTGATCCAGACCTATCAAACTAAAACTAGTGAGGGAGATTTCAGTGAAGAATGAGATTAAGTTTCCCATAGAATCAATACCAAAAAAAAATCTTTTGTAATAGAGAATTACCTTAAAAGTCACATTCTAATTAATGTCAAGTGAGGGAATTAGCCTCCCACTAAGAATTTGCAGATCTAACGATCATCAGGCCAAGTACAAAAATGGGGTGGGGGCACATGAGAAACTGCTTCACTTTAAAGTGCTACTACAAATTAATTATGTAAGTATCAATAAAAACAAATGTTACATGCTTTCCTAGAGGAAAGAATAATCGGACACTGTTCCAGAATGAGAGATGGGATGGGAACACATTCAGTTGAGGTGCACAGTGGGTAGTCAATGGAATTTGCTTAAAGCACAAATTTGCTAGTTGGTTGATTAAATGGGAGGTGTCTGTGCAGAACAGTAGTTATTCTGTTTATTAAGCCCAGTTGGCAGGATTTTCTAGCACCAGGAAAAGGTATAAAATTAACACCCCTAAATGGAAAACAAACAAGAACTTTAAAAACAAAATGGAAATAGCAAGTGGTACTAATTGGTTTGCTTGAATGTTGTACCCTCTGACCACCCTTCATCTATTTTGAATCTTTAGATTGTAAACTCTTCTGAGTAAGAAAAATGTTATCCTAATTGTTTGTCAGCACAAAGAGGCCCCAATGTGGATTTGCACCATTGGTTGCTACTGCTACATAATCAAATTTGCAAATGATAGCAGACCAGCAGCATGCAAGCAGTGTGTAAAATACTTGTAACATAGCAGCTGGTACTTATATGCACTACTGCTGTCTATGGGTTGGAATCAGCCACACTCAACATTTATCAGACATGTTCCTTGACAGAAGCCTATTAAATTCTATTACTCCTAACAGCTAGTAATGAACACAGGATAATAGAAGTTATAGATGAAAGGCTCTTACTGTTGCCCACTCTCATGATTTTGTCATGAGTCTCAATAATTATTTTCCTTTAAGCCCCAGCTCCTAGAGTCAAGTAGGATGTGATAATTTCAACCTTCCTTCTTAAATAAAATATATATATATATCTAACCCTCATGGCTGTTGAGAAAAACTTCAAAATATGATCCCAGTACATCCTAGAGGCTCAAAAAGCAGAAAGCAAATTAAAAGCACACCAAATCTATTTTTCAAATATAATCTCATGCCTTAAAAGCCAGTCTTATGACTGGTTTCAGAGAGGTAGCCATGTTAGTCTGTAGCAGCAAAAAGAATGAGGAGGAGGTCTCTAAGGTGCCACAAGTACTCCTTGCATTAATCTTATGATCCTGAGCCTGACATGAGGATTGAACATTTGGGGTTGGCAACCCTGGGAACCGTTCCTTTCCGCACACGAGACAGCGCCCACTTAAGAAAAATGGGCCTCCACCTAGACAGTAAAATCACTAGCTTCCGATGAAGTGAGCTGTAACTCAGGAACGCTCATGCTCAAATAAATTGGTTAGTCTCTAAGGTGCCACAAGTCCTCCTTTTCTTTTAGCTTCCCCTAGTGTTCCACCCCAAATCCCCCCTATTTCAGCAGAAGGTGGAGGGGCCTGTCCCCAGGCCTGGAACACCTATAACCGGAGCGGCCGTTCAGACACACAGGGACAGGCGGCCAGGCCTTCCATACAGCCTTCACTGACGCGCCTCCCCTCGGCCAGGGGGGTTGCACGGGCCCTGCATCGGGCCTGCGGCGTGCCAGAGCTTTGGGGCAGGCCGAACTGGACACTCGCCCCCCGCCCTGCCCAAGAGAGGGGCGGGAGCGACCCCGCCCCCCGGCCTGGGGCCACGTAGGCCCCCAGCAGCCCGGCCACGCGGAAGCGGCCCTGGCAACCCCCTCAGCAGAAGATGCCGGGGCCGCTCGCCCGCTCCCGCTGCCCGCGAGGGGGGCTGTCCCCCGCCCTCCCCAAGGCGCCCCTTCCCCAAGGCGCCATCTGAGGGGGCTGCTGCTGCTGCTACCCCGGCCGAGCCCCTCCCTGCCTCCACCCCGCCCAAAATGGCGCCGGCGCAGAGCGGCCCGGCCCCCGAATCCCTCCGCGCCCAGGCGGTGCCCGGAAATACCCTCGCCCGCCGCCGCCCTCAGTGAAGATGGCGCCCGTGGCGTGTCTCTCCCCCCAGCGGCAGCCAATGGGCGCGGCGGAGGAGCGTCGCGGGGGTAGTGACGCGGCCGGCCCGCGCCCCTCACGCGCGCTCTGTCCCTCTCTCCGGGCGCGGGCGGGCGAGGTCAGCTCGGCGGGGCCGGCGGTTGCTGAGGCGGGGCGGTGAGTGGCTCGCGGCCAGGCCCTGGAGGCCTCCCTGGCTCTGGGGGAGGGGCGGCGGACCGGACCGGACCGGGCTGGGCCAGTCACGGCGCCGGGAAGAGGGGTGGTCCCCCGCCCCCTCCCTTCCCCCGCGTGCCGGCCCGGATCCGTGTCCCGCCGCGCCTGGGGCTGTTCCGGCTCCCGGCCGCGGGGGGGGGGGGTGTATCCGGGCCGCAGGGGGGGCCTGGCCTAGGGGGCCCCGGGCTGTGGCCGAGCCGGTTCCCCTCTCCGCCCGGCGGGGGGGGCGGGCGGCCGTTCAACGCCCCGCGCCCGCCCTGCGTGCCGGGCCCTGGGCCTCGCCCTGGTGACATTGACCTGCCCCCGGCTCCCTCCCTGTCTCGGCCTGAGCGGCTCCTCGCGGGCTGGGCCTCCCCGGCTGCCTCCCCATCGCGCCGCTGGGCCGCTCGGGGGTGCGGTCTGCGCCCCCACACCGCTGCGGCCGGGAGAAGCCCCGAGGGCGGGCACCTTCCCCCCTGGAGCTGGGGCTGATTTGTGGGTAAATAACGTCTAGGGCTCCCTACGCTGGCAAAGTGCCCCTCGCGCAGAGGTGGCCTCGGCGGGACGCTTGTCGGTAGGAGCCGGGAAGCGGGCGATCCAGTGCAGACAAGGGGCGTGGGGGGGGGGGGGGGTCGGTCCATCAGAGCTGGGCCTCGTGTCCCTCCATGTGCTGCTGCTGCCCCAGAGGAGCTGGCCTGTGGGTCAGGGGAGAAGAGGCCCGTTCTCGGTGATTTCACAACTGGCTTCGGCAGGACTAGGAGAGGCTACCCAGAAGTCCCATCCGCGTTTTGTGCCTGCAGGGTGCATGTGACGGAGCAGGGTACTTACATGAGCGGGCTCAGAGCCAAACCGTACAGCAGTGCTGTGGCAGTGTTCAGGTATTGCCGGGATTGGTAGGAATAGATACAATCCTATGATGGATGTCAGTGGTCGCAAATGGGAGTTAATACCAACCTTCAGTTTTCACTGTAACTTCTAAGCGGGAGTTTTAAATTTTCATGGGTTCCCCCTCCCCACAATTGCTCTCGATTTCAACTAATGACAGGTTTCAGAGGAACAGCCGTGTTAGTCTGTATTCGCAAAAAGAAAAGGAGTACTTGTGGCACCTTAGAGACTAACCAATTTATTTGAGCATGAGCTTTCGTGAGCTACAGCTCACTTCATCAGATGTATACCGTGGAAACTGCAGCAGACTTTATATACACACAGAGAATATGAAACAATACCTCCTCCCACCCCACTGTCCTGCTGGTAATAGCTTATCTAAAGTGATCAACAGGTGGGCCATTTCCAGCACAAATCCAGGTTTTCTCACCCTCCACCCCCCCACACACAACTAAGTTACTGATAATGTGCCTAAGACTTAGGCTGATTGTTGTGAATAAATGAGTGAAAGTGGAAGGAAGTGTTTCTTGCGGGCCCAGACCTTAGTGATGCTATATAAATATCATGAATGAATGTAAAACAAACAGGGCTGAAATTCATTGACAGTTCCCAACATGAGACTACACTTTATCTTCTAGAGCAGTTGAGTGTCCGTAAGGCCTTGTCTACGCTTGTGGCAGCACGTGGGGTAGACGTAGCTATGGGCCAGAGTGAAAAACGGGCTGCTTCCCCACTGTGGTGTGTAGCTACACGTGGCTGTGAAAGGCTTTGGCCAAGGGGAGGCAGCAGGGAAATGCTCTGGCAGCAAGGATGCTACACTGCTAAAAAGAGCCGAGTAGAGGTGGGAGGCACTGCTTGGGTGTGTAGAGTGCCATGTAGGTACAGACGCCAAGGTTCTGGCTTGTCTGTACTCTACTTACCTAAGCAGTGCCTCGCTGTCTACATTGCTGTTTATACCCATGCTAGTGGTTTATACCCACCACTACAAATGTAGGCATAGCCTATGTGACACATGATTTTCAGTCACTACCAGCCTGGGCTAGATTCAAACCAGGCTATTGATGGAAAACTCTATGCCCTAGAGTCATCCAGTTCCCTCTTCTTTTTTAACTTTCAAATATGCTTTTGTTAAAGTGTTTTGTTTTTTTTCCTTTTGTAGGGCCTCTGAAATGTGGAGTTGACCCCAGTTCAGTTTTGTCCCCCTCCTCTTCCCTCCCAATAGCTCTAGCTGTGTCATGGCAGCCAGACTGGTGCAACGCTGTTGTCGTCGGCTCTTTTGTGGCTCCATCTTCGCACCCCTGGCGACCCCAACTTCTCTGTTAGCACCAGCATCCAAGACAGTGGTAGCAAGAGCTCTACCTCAGGCAGCTCTTGCTTCATTACACACTTCAAGCCTCTCCAGGCAAACAGACAAACTCTCAGTCAAGGAGCAAGTGTACAGCCGACATCCAGAGCATAGAGAGATTGATGAACTCATTGACTCAGCTTCTAGCCCTGAAGATCTCTTGAACGTGGGTGAACATCACTCTCTAAATGGGAACCAGGCCTCCGCAGTAGTCATCCAACTCTCCCGACTCGTGGTGGACAAGAAACTAGAAACAGAGAGCATCTTGCAGGACAGTCGCTTCCAGCAAGTGCTCAACATTCTAAATAGCCAGGTATGTTCCCATGATGCCACAGATGGGCGCTCTTGGAGGGAGGAGTGTGACGGGAGAACAAGCAGATAAAGTCCCCTTTCCCAGCTGCTTTTAGCTGGTGGCCTGTGCAGAGTTGGCTGGTCACATGATGTTGGTTCTCCTAACTTCCAGCTGAGAGAGACAGAGCCCATGGAAGGGAGAGATAGAGTGACCGACTGCTTTCACAAAAGGCAGAATACTTGCTGCACTGGAAACAACTAAAAACGCAACATTACTTGGCTATTCCATTTCTGTGTGTTCAATGGCTGTAGTGGCTGTGGGTGCTATGCGTCCCAGTGGATGCGCACGGGCAGGGATTGAGGTGATAGCCTAGCACACACAACATTGCCTTCCCAATTTGCAGTCTCTTTTTTGAGATTATGCTGCTGCGCCTCCCCTATCGGTGACACGAGGCAATGGTGCTTCAGAGAGCCCTGCTAAGTTCTGTTGTCTTCACAGGGGCTGCGGTGAACAGCAGCACAAGGACTAATAAAGTTTGAATTGGACTGAGCGTTGGTGAATTCTGCCAGCAGCAGTGTTGTACCCATGTTAAGAACTTTAGTTTCCCCCTTTGGGCATATCACTGAATCCACACCCAGCTCTCAACAGCCACATGGAACCCTGGATTAGCCCAATGAAATCTCAGTAAAATGATAAGAATGAGAGTGGGTTTCACATGTTACATTATGTTCTCCACTATCTATTCTTAAACTACAGCAGCCATGTCAAATTCAGTACTGTCCTTGTCTGTGGTTGGTACTGGCCCAGCTGGCTGCCACAGCAATATCTGTAGTTCATGGGCCCCATGTCTCTATTACTGGACCCTGGGGATAAAAGAATGCTACAGACACCTTGTATAGATCAGTAGAAATACTGAAGCATCTCACCCTAAGAGCATGCATACACGGGGATGTTAAATTGGATTCGTTTGTTTGCTCTGAGTGCACCAATTTGGTGCACTTAGATCTGGAAAAAGGGGTAAACAGTGAGATGGCAAAATTTGCAGACAATACAAAACTACTCAAGATAGTTAAGTCCCAGGCAGACTGCGAAGAACTACAAAAGGGTCTCTCAAAACTGGGTGACTGGGCAACAAAATGGCAGAAGAAATTCAGTGTTGATAAATGCAAAGTAATGCACATTGGAAAAGATAATCCCAACTATATGTATAAAATGGTGGGGTCTAAATTAGTTGTTACCACTCAAGAAAGAGATCATGGAGTCATTCTGGTTAGTTCTCTGAAAACATCCATTCAATGTGCAGCAACAATCAAAAAAGTTAACAGAATGTTGGGAATCATTAAGAAAGGGATAGATAATAAGACAGAAAATATATTGCCTCTGTATAAATCCATGATGCACCCATATTCTGAATACTGCGTGCAGATGTGGTCGTCCCATCTCAAAAAAGATATACTGGAATTGGGAAAGGTTGAGAAACGGGCAACAGAAATGATTAGGGGTATGGAACGGCTGCCATATGAGGAGAGATTAATAAGACTGGGACTTTTCAGCTTGGAAAAGAGACGACTAAGGAGGAATAGGATAGAGATCTATAAAATCATGACTGGTGTGGAGGAAGTAAATATGGAAGTGTTATTTACTCCTTCGCATAACACAAGAACTAGGGGTCACCAAATGACATTAATAGGCAGCAGGTTTAAAACAAAAGGAAGTATTTTTTCACACAACGCACAGTCAATCTGTGGAATTCCTTGCCAGAGGATGTTGTGAAGGGCAAAACTATAACAGGGTTCAAAAAAGAACTAGATACGTTCATGGAGGATAGGTCCATCAATGGCTATTAGCCAGGATGGGCAGGGATGGTGTCCCTAGCCTCTGTTTGCCGGAAGCTGGGAATGGGTGACGGGATGGATCACTTGATGATTCCCTGTTCTGTTCGTTTCCTGTGGAGCATGTGGCATTGGCCACTGTTGGAAGACCGGATACTGGGCTAAATGGACCTTTGGTCTGACCCAGTCTGGCTGTTCTTATGTAAATTAACTGAGTGGCATTCACACTACTTTGTTATGCCACGCTGCTCTGTGCTACTCAATACTGCTATCAGAAAGAGCCACACCTAGCTGTGTGCTAGCATTTAAATGGGGATCTGGTTGAGATGACCATGGAGCAGTGAAGGTGCACAGACAGATCCATAGACAGGATGATCCAGGTGTGAAGCAGTGCACTGTGGGGTGGCAGTGGGAGGATTGCCAGAAGCAGAATAGTTAAGGATTTGTCCACATGAACCTTAAAGCAAATAAACTCACTGCAATGAGGAGTTACTTCTCTTCCAAAGAGGGTTAATTGCTGCCATCTAAGTTACTAAATAACTTGATTTTAAAAAGAAGTTGAGTGTGGGCACAAGACACTCTAATTCAAACAAACTAAAGTTAAGCTGATATAAGACCCCGTGTAGACAAGCCCTGAGATATCAAAAGACAGGTAGGGGTGGACCAGGCCAGCAATTGGACAGAAGTCTCTCAATGGAATTTGGTATCAAAGTGCTGCAGGAAATAGTGTTGGTGATTTGTATTGAAAGACTGAATGGGGCACAAGACTGAGAGTGGGAATACTGAGGTTCTGTTCCTGGCTTGCCAGTGACCTGTGTGATCTTTGGTAGGTCATGATATGTTTCTTCAGCTGCCTAATGGGTGATACTTGTTTACAGACCCTTTGCAATCCACTCTGAGATCTCTAAGAATTACTGTTCTACAGTGGTGATCATCAGCCTGAGTCAGTGTCCAAGCCTGGCTCTGAGAGGCTGCTGTGCTCCTTGAAGCGCCAAGTTTCTGACAAGTCTTAAGACCGAAGTCTTGGTTATTATGGTGCCTGTGGTACCATTTGCCAGAGCACTAGTAGAGCACCCTGGCCACATTCTATCTGAGCCGTTACAGTCTACTTCCCTTGATACCTTCTGCAGCTTCAAGCTGAGAAGTGATTCTTCCATTTCCTTAAACTGTTTTGTCATGTTGTTAGATAGCTGTCATGTTCCACCCCAGAGGTGGCTGCAATTTGGTGATATTTTCTTTGTTTTCTGCACAACCCGTGGGGATTCTTCAGCATGAAAGGTGCTTTAGAAGCTAGACTATCATCTGTGCAACTTTGGGCTTCTGTTGTTTTTTTTTTCCAGCTGCATATTAGCTTTTCTCACTGGAACTGCCAAGTTGACCCCATTGCCCAGCAGCGATAGCCCTACGCTGCCCTGTGGGTGACCTGGGTCACTGGATCTTGCACATATAGTCAAGATCTGGAAGCATAAGAATGATGGCCTTTCAGCTTCATCATCAGTTTCTCCTTGGAGAAGAGCCGCAAGTGCACTGTGCCTTCATGAGGCAGTTGTGGAATGTACACGGGGGCGGGAGGGGAGTTTGGTCTGAACATAGAGGAAAAAGAGAGAGAAATGTTGACTGACACTAAAGGCAATGAAAGCTCAGCCCTGGGAAAACTAGAGCACCACTGCTCTGTCTCCAGACCAGGGCTGGACATAGCAGCTGCTCATGCTGCTGGGAAAGCTGCAGGTTGTGAGTGAAGTTAAAGGGGCAGTGAATGTGGAGTGTAGACACGGGAGCACTAAAACCACTCTTTCGGGGGTGCCTTCTGGAGCGTCTGGCATTTGCCAATGCTGGATGACTGATCCCATCTGATAAATCCTCTAGTCTCTAACTCCACTTCTTGCTCTGTTACAGCCTCCTTTGTGCCTAACAACATTCCCATATTTCCTCTTTGCTGCCTAGCTTTCCCAGGTCTGGAATAGCTCTTTGTTGCCCCTCTTGAAGAGCCTCTACCATCTGGGGCTGGAGAGGAATAAAAGGGAGCTGAGATCGGTGAAGCAGGAGGTACGCTGGCGGTTAAGACGCTTGAACTTCAGGCAGATTGCTTCCCTGGCAGAGTACATAGCAGCCAGCGAGCACACGGAGGATCAGAGTGAGCTGCTGAGCGACGTGGTGAAGCACCTGGAGCTGCGCTGGACGGAGATTGGGGACACCAGAGCTGTGGTGGCACTGATGATGAAGGTCGGGCACCTCTCGCAGACCCTGATGGACCGGCTGGAGGACAAGGTATAGGCAGCAGCTAGGACATGCGTGAGTCTCCTGCAGGGTGGATTGATTTAAATAAATCCTTTTAAATCTCCCATTTGAATCATGATTTAAATCAGCAAGCAGGTAGCCTTGATTTAAATCAGTAATTTTAATTGTGCTTTCCATTTGTACTTTCTACTTATTTTCTTTGGCTAGTAATTATTGAAACATGTTGATTTGCAACTAAATACGGCCTCTACGTCAAATTTGGTGCTTCTTTTTGCTAACCAGGAGGATAAACTGTATCTATACACAGATATTGAACCAGTGATATAGCTTAACTTACATTTATTTAGATTCTTAATTTTTACATTTATTACAAGAGAATGATGAATGATGCATTTCTCACTTCCTAGATGATCAATTTTTTACTTGCAGTTTGTGTCAAGCTGTATTTGGATGGAAATTCACATTTAATTGCAAATGCACAAAAACAGAACTTTACATGTTTTATTTAAATAAAGTACCTTAAATATGCTGGATACATAAGGGAAAAAAGTTCAGCAAAATTAGGGCTGTCAAGTGATTAAAAAAATCTATTCACAAATAAGGGCTCGTAGGCATTTATACAGCACGTCAGGCATGCATGGCAGCATGTTCCCTCAGGGGCCTCCTGGGTCTTTTCTGATCTGGAATGTTTTCCCACCACCACCCCAAGAATGTTGTTTGTTTTTTTTTTAAAGCAGTGATCCTGAATCTGACAAGCCAAACAACCCACAGATCTGGTCTGAGGTTAAGGAGAGAACTGTTGTGGTTTACTTTACACTTTACTGAAATGGCTCCATAGTGAGACTCTGTAAAGAGCCTGCCTCACCCCCAGGGCCAAGCTCCACTGAGATCTGAGCACAGAGTTGCAGAATCTGCTCATTGTGGGGGCACGCTGCCTTGAGACTCCCCCATTTAAGTCATCACAGATGGGGAGAAAAGGAATGTTACCTTAGTTCTCTTTCCATTCCTTTCTCCTTCCAGTTCAGCCTGGTTCTGAATCAGATGGCTTGTGAATCACAGCTCTGCAGGCCTGTGCCCGTGGATTAGCTCATTGCTTACTAGATGTCCTTCAGGCATGTGATCTGGGCTGAGGAAACGCTCCCCAGATTGAAACCACCAGTGAGGTCTCTAAGTGGTTGTTTGACTGCAGCTATGTCAAATTCAGTACTCACCTTTTCCATGGTGAGTACTAGCCCAAAAGCTGCCATAGAAACATCTGTAGTTCATGGGCCCCACGTCTCTCTCTCTCTGGATCCTGGGGATAAATATTTGCTGCAGACATTGGTACATGCTAATAAAAATACCACAGTTTAGACTGGTTGGCTTGGGATTTTGCCAGGTAGCAAATTAAACACAGTGGGGTAAGGTTAGTAATAGGTGAGATGCCAAGGGAAACACCAGGAAATGGTGTTAATGATTCAGTAGGGGTTACTCTTTCCCCTCTGTCAGTACTCACCTTGCTGGTGCATTGGTTTAGAAGCTCAGATCCCATGGGGCTGAGCCCGACATAAACCCTTAATGTTAGAGCGCTGTAATCTTTTGGATGAAATGTAAACTGAGATGCTCAGAGTTTAAGGCCAAAAGGAACCGTTTGATCACCTAGTCTCCTCTCCTGCATAGGACAGGTCATTTATTTTTTTAAAAAAGGCTCCAGAGGCAGTCCGAGTAACTACAGGCCCATAAGCCTAACCTCAGTACCAGGCAAATTGGTTGAAACTGTTCTAAAGAACAGAATTATCAGACACATAGATGAACACGATTTGTTGGAGAGGAGTCAAAATGGCTTTTGTAAAGGGCGAGGCATGATTTCCCATCTATTAGAATTGTTTGAGGGGGATCAACAAACATGGACAAGGGGATCCAATGGATATAGTTTACTTAGACTTTCAGAAAGCCTTTGACAAGGTCCCTCACAAAAGGCTCTTAAGCAAACTAAGTAGTCCTGGGGTAAGAGGGAAGGTCTTCTCATGGGTCACTAACTGGTTAAAAGACAGAAAACAAAGAGTAGGAATAAATGGTCAGTGTCTCCGAGGAATTAGCCAAGATGGTCAGGGATGCAACCCCATGCCGTGGGTGTCCCTAAGCCTGTGACTGCTAGATGCTGGGGCTGGGCAATGGGACAGATCATTAGATAATTGACTTGTTCTGTTCATTCCGTCTGAGTCATCTGGCATTGGCCACTGTCGGAAGAGAGGACACCAGGCTGAAGGGGCCATTCGTCTGATCCAGAATGGCCATTCTTATGTTCTTAAATTTCACCCAGTTACTCCTGTATTGAGCCCATACTGGCCACTTGTGGTTGTAATAGATCCCACAGTATTTTTTGCAATAGTATTCAATGTAGCACTGATATCCTGACCAAATTCAGTCAGAAGTAATTACGCCCTGCCTCCATTAATTCTCCCCTCTGGATACAATGGTTTTGACATCATTTCTTATACTGTTTATTACTGTGATCTGCTATGTTCTGCTCCAGCATTTCAGCGCTGGATGATCTTTGAGAGGGTATGTTTTGTAAGATACTTTGAAATGTGAGATATGTAAGCAGATAATCGTGTAAATTGCTTTATCCCACCTTTACTCTCTGTGCTTAATGTCTGTTGGCAGGCTTTGGAATTAGCCGAGCAATTCACTGCTGAGGACATTCGGAAAGTGGCGTTGGTTTTAGCTCTCCAGAACCGGCGCTCTGTCCCCCTGCTCCGGGCCATTTCCTACCATCTGGTTCAGAAGCACTTTACCCTCAGCACTAGTGTTCTTGTGGACTTGGCCTTTGCATATGGTAAGTGAGTCCAGCCGTCCCCTGAACTACTCAGTCAAGTATCACACCAGCAGAGTCCAGTGCAGCACAGTCTTTGCATTGAACTAGGACTTCAGAGCATCAGTACCATGATGATGCAGTCCTGGCTGAGGAAGAGGAGGACCACCTTGAGTCCTAAGCTCATACATTCAAGTACAAATAACTTTACCCAGCGGGTTGAAATCTCTCTTGACCCTGCTTTGGAGAGTTAACTGTCGAGTTATTTGGTACCTCTAATACACACCCAAAATGGAATTGATTTTCTCAGTTACAATGCAGACCTTACAGTGCCCTCAGCTTTTGCATTCTATTCTATTTAGTTTCTTACCATGCTCATCAGCCTCATATCAAAGCACCTTCCAATAGTGCATTAAGTGTCACCATCCACATCTACCACGGACTTCTAGCAGCAAAGGCTTTCAAAGAAAACTACTTAAACCTGCACAGTTTGAAAGAGACCTTCTTTGAGCACACAGCAGAGTGGCAGAAATTCCCAAATTCTAATCCCAGCTCTGCAGTGGATTCCCTCTGTCACCAAAGGCAAGTCATTTAACCTATGTGCCTCAGTTTCCCCACCTGCAAAAGGTAGGTGTTACTACCTGCCTGTTTCAGCAGGCCAGAAGTGCTGTGGTTGTGGGATTGGCAATGAACTGGATTGCCCAGATGGAATTAGGCGTAAAGGGGTGATGTTACAAAATTATTTGATCTCTCTCCATCAGAGTATTAGTTGAGGAATATTTGTAAAGTGATATTATTTTATCCAGTGACTAATATACTACATAGTACAGTAGGTCTCTGCCTGTGCTCTTGGGTGTGGCGGGCCAATGTATTTCAGTCTTAACTCGGAGATATCTCTGTTTGCAAGCTACAGCATAGATCAGAGTTTTCTGATCCATCACAATAATGAACCTAGTCATAGCATGCTTAGGTATAAACAACATTAATTTGAGCAGAAAGTAACACACCCATTGGTATAATAATGGGTTTCTTAGTTCTCTGACCCCTCCTTGCTGGTTTCTGCAGACATTTTGCCTCTCATCCTCTGCAGGACATCACAAACACTGCTTTCTTGTTAGCAACAGTCCAGACAAATGGGCAGTGTATCCTCCTACCAGGTAGAACAGTGACATGAGCCCCTCTGTTAAACTGGCTGATTCCAGCTGAGCAGTCCACTTCATTGTCTGTCTTGCACGTGACCAACTGGCTGAACTACGACTACCTAGATGGGGTGGTTATACTCTAAAAAGCGACAGTAGAAATGGCATTCAGAGCATTCCCTGCTTCTCTCAGTGAGTCTAGACTAGATCATCTCTCCTGTAATTTGGGTGATGAACCACTGGAACAAACTACCAAGGGAAGTGGTGGAGCCGCTATCTCTTGATGTCTTCAGAGCTACATTGGATGCATTTCTGGAAGATGCTTTAGTCCAATACAAGTTACTGGGCTCAGTACAGGGGGAATGGGTTGAAATTCTCTGGCCTGTGTTATACTGGAGGTCAGACTGGGTGATTGATTAGCCCCTTCTGACCTTAACATCTATGAGGAATTGAACAATCTATTGACTGCCAGCCCCAGGACTCCTATAGTCTTAGAGTCTTACTGGGCTCTTGCTGGTTCGTGCATCGCCACAGGAATTCTGCCATTAGAATGTATTGAGATAAAGGTTCTGCTGGCGTGAGCCAGAAGAGAGTCCTGCTCGCCCTCCCAGAGCTGCGGTGGTTCTGCAGCGATAACAAATGTAGCTTACGTACAACTTGAACTCCTGGAGCAGATCTGTTCAGTAATTAGGTACCAGCTGGCCACAGGTTTGTTACCCTGACCATAACTGAACTTAAGTTCTTTTCCAAACTTCTAAACTCGGCAGAATTCGGTAGTTCAGTATTACTCCGATGGACTTTCACAGGTTTTTCTTCTCCCCTCCCTGTCTTCTGGAGAGCTCTCCTGGCCCATCTGACACTGTTTCACTTCCCTTGGTATTGTCTGTTTCTGGGGATTTTTGCCCACAACACTCCTCACCTATGATGATGGTTCTTTAGTTCCCTGTTTTCTGTAGCATCCATCACCCTAAATCCTAATTTTGTTTTTGGATACAGCTTAGTATTAACTTCAAGCTTGTAGCGAATTTATTCCTCAGCCAAGACAAGCTCCTTTGTGTGTTGAAGAAAGTTATTCGGATTTAATGAAGATTTTAAAATAAGTACCATCCCTAGGTGTAGAGCTGCGGGGACATGCACCCAGTGGAATGGGAATATCTGGAGCTCTGCATTCTGAAATGGTGCACGTGGGTTTGTTTATACGATTAGGAAGGCAAATGAACATGCTAGCGCTTTGCTCTCAAATTATTTTCATCTTGCAGACACTTTAAGTACATTGACAACAGCCCTGGGGAAATAGAATATTATCTCCATTACGCAGTTGGTGCAACTGAGGCCCCAAAAGGTTAAGTGACATGCCAGAGAGGGAGTCAGAGAAAGCTGAGCTAGCAACTGCAAAGTTCCTGCCTCCTGGCCCTTGTCATTACACCTCTTCCCACTAGTACTTTGATTTGATTACGTCAACATCAGTGTAACGGTGCTGCTTGATCATTTCAAACACAAGGGCCCCATGCGCCTATCTTGGGCTGTGTGTTTGACTTTCCCCTTGGAAGTTTCACCTGGTGGCTGGCTCAGCGTTAATGTGGATACCATGAGTACTCCTATGGGATTTAGGCTGCCCCTTGGTATTAGTTAATGAGCCTACAGTCAGGCTAGCATCAGGTGTGAAGCACTCTGCAGCCTTGTCAAATGCAGTGCTCTCTTCCTCAGTGATGGGTACTGACCCAAATAGCTGCCACAGAAGCACCTGTAGTTCATGCCATGTCTATCTAGAGAGGGGATAAAAATCTTCCACAGGCACCCAGCACAGGCCAGCATCATTAGTCTGAATCCCTTCTCAGCACCGCCTGGTGATCGAGAGAGGCTGATGGGCTTGGGGCAGAGGCCTGGCCTGGTTCTCTGTAGTTGCAAGAGTATGGTTGTGGCTAAGATCTGATTTCGAGGTGGGGAGGGAACAGCATTCACCCAGAGCCTCTTCCTCTCCAGGAATACAGCTTGATGCTTTTGCTTGTCTCCCCCTGTGCCTTACCCCCCCCAGACGTCCCGCTCCCCCCTTGCACTGCTCCCACTGGTGCTTCGGAGCTCCCGGCTGACTCCTCTTAAGCAGGTGCTGATTTCTTCTGCCTCTTTAAGGAAAGCTGAATTTCCACCAGACCCAGGTCTTCCAGAAGATGGCATCAGACCTGCACGCCCGCGTGCCCGAGATGGCTCATGGTGACGTGGGGCGCTGCATCAAGTCCTTTGCTTACCTCAAGTGGCTCAACCTGCCCCTCTTTGAGGCCTTCGCTCAGGTGAGGAGACTTGAGTGGGGAAGGAAAGGGGGAAACAGCCATTGTTGGGCCCCTCTGCTTCAGTTTCCCAAGCTGTAAGATGGGGTAATGATGCTGAGATGTATTTGTAAAGTCTAAAAAGTCTAAACACTATGATACCAAGCTGATACCTTGCTCAGTGGTAGCACATACAGCTCTTTGACTTGGCTAAGTGCAAGACAGCATGTGTCAGTAAAAATGGCTTCAATGTCTCTTCTATGCTGGGGGTTACAGTATGGGGCACATCATAGCTGGCTTGCTGCAGATGGCTGCCTGGTGTGGTAGCAGCTTACACTGAGAGGGGATCATTGAGGGGAGCCCCGGACTGCTTGGCAACTAATCCCAGCTCATCCCCGACTATCCTGTCTGTGCTTCCGTTTCTCATCGGGCAGCTGGGGTATTCTGCCTATCTCAGTTTATACTTACACACCCATATCTTTGTGCTCCTTGAATATAGTGCTGGATGCTAATACAAAATCCTTAACAGGTCCATAGGGGCCATTTGGCTTATTTCCGCCCTGTGTCATCGGGGCAGCGCTGTCCGTGGGTTGGATTTTGTAAGCGTCAGTGTTTGCTTTGGAGCAGTTCGGGTCTACACTTATGCTTTCCCTCTCTGGTTTCCAGTACACCTTGGACAATGCTGACAGATTCACCATGCTGCAGCTGTGGAACGTCATCCTGTCTTTCGCCCGCCTGAACTTCCAGCCCAGCAGAAGCGAGAACTACTTTAACATGGTAACGTTCCTTGCCCATCCCGTCCCCCGTCATGCCCTCGGGCTACATCAGAACCAAAGCGAGGTCTGCCAAGGCTGCAGATCTCCTGAAGACATCTGAGCTTGCAGACTTAGGGGTGTCCAGAATATCTCCAGCTCTGACTTCTGTAGGAAAAGGACAGCCATGCCATAGCCCCGCAGTTACACACCCATCTCCCAGAACACATGCATGATCTACAGTCTGTTCAAACCTGGGGGGCACCGCAGCTCATCTCGAGTAAGTGCTCATGTTTGCTCAGTGAAGTCCTTGGATTTGAGCTCTTGAGAACAGGAAGCAGGGCATCCCAGCAGGGCCCCGGCACTCGCTCCATCCTGCTGCATGTGGCAAAGTGCCAGGCTCAGTGTTTTCAGTCAAGCATTGACTTGGAGGCCCTACACTATGGATGATGTGATAGGGTAAAACAATTATCAGGAAAGGGTTATGGGCAAACCTGCCTGTCAGGACTGGGCCAGGGATTTAAAGGAAAGGTGTGTCTGGGGACTGAGGCAAGGAAAAGCCCCCCCAGAAAGACTCCCCCTTCCCTTAAATTGCCTGCTGAGACGTGACAGGCAGGTAGGCCGTAACCCTCTCCTGGCTATGTCATCCTGACACAGGTGGCTGGGAAGGAGAATGGCTCTCCTTGCTGCCTGTACTGGTGACCAGTGTATGTAATACACCCAGAGACAATAAGCATATAATCACTTAATACAATGGGGCTATGACAGCCCTCCAGAGGGGCACATCTGGGTTGGGGGGACTGGAGCTTTTAGACCAGGCCTCAGTGCCTGTGCACTCACCTGCCAGTCTCTGGCATGCCGTGCTTTGCCTGTTATGCCTGCTTGTGCCCTTCAGAGCTGGGGCAGCCGCACACCTCAAGCCAGGCAGCGAGGGCCGCACGGTGCTCGCAATTCATTTGCTAGGTAGGCATGGATGATCATAGTAGCATTCTGAGCAAGAGCTAATCTAGCCCAGCTCTCTGGCTAATCTAGCCCAGAGCTAATCTAACCCAGCTCTCTGGCTAATCTAGCCCATCTCCCAGGTGCACCATGAGAGCTGGTTAGATGCAGGCAGAAGTATAGATTTTAGGCAACGTGTTCTCTACCTGTTCACACAGAGCAGGCAGGAGCTCAGCTACCTCATAGTCCCATCACCTCTGCAGCAACCGGCCTGATGTGTAGTTCCTCATCCCAGGGGGTGCAGAGCTGAGATGGCTCTGCTGGGGCTTGAGCCAGAGGCTTCAGTGCGTCTTGGCCTTTCTGACCTGATGCTTAGTTCATTAAGCCACCCTGTAGCAAAGCTGCTGCCTCAACACAGCCCCTCCTGGCTGGATGTGGCATTGCAGCACCGTCACCTCAGTTTCCCCCACTGTCCTTTGGCCTGCTCTGTACCATCTGCTGAGCTGTCAGATACCAAAGTTTCAGAGTAGCAGCCGTGTTAGTCTGTATTCGCAAAAAGAAAAGGAGTACTTGTGGCACCTTAGAGACTAACCAATTTATTTGAGCATGAGCTTTCGTGAGCTACAGCTCACTTCATCGGATGCATACCAAAGTGACCAGCTCCCTGGAGCCAAAGTGCAGGGATGGTCTGAGGTCCGTAGTTCCAGGAGTCCTCCTCTGGTCTGTTCCACTCCCCACTTTCATATTCACTTACCAGCCTCTGGGGCCTCTGCCTGGTCTCCATGGGGCCACTCACCCTTATGGGGTCTCTCTCCAGGGCAAGGGGGAGGCACAGTGGCTGGGCAGTGCCTGGAGCACCTTGCCTTGCCGCCCCATGCCTGTTGTATGCATTCATCGAGGGCCCTGGTCTGCAGGGTTGTCACAGACACCAGAATTAGAAGCTCTCTCTAAAGCGGGGGTTTGTTAAGCCATAAACTACCAACTTTGGCTTATTAAAAATATGTTAAGGTCTGTTATAAAGAGGATGCTGACCACCAAAGGCAGGAAAAGACGTAAATGGGCTTAATCTGCAGCAAGGCAGATACTTTCTAGCTCTAAAGGTACTTCAGCTCTGGACCAGGTTTCCAAGAGAGGTTGTGGAATCCCTGTCACTAGAGGTTTTGAGAACAGGCTGAACAAACGCCTGTCAAGGGTGGTCTAGGTTTATTTGGTCCTGCCTCAGTGCAGAGGGCTGGACTAGACAACCTCTCGAGGCCCCTTCCAGCCCCACATTTCTGTGAGTCCATGAAAGCCTCTGCCTACAAATCCTCTGTATAATGGTAAGAGGCCCTGCAGTGGTGAGGCCCCACATTGGTGAGGCCTCATCTGGAGTACTGTGTCCAGTTTTGGGCCCCACACTTCAAGAAGGATGTGGATAAATTGGAGAGAGTCCAGCGAAGGGCAACAAAAATGATTAGGGGTCTGGAACACATGAGTTATGAGGAGAGGCTGAGGGAGCTGGGATTGTTTAGCCTGCAGAAGAGAAGAATGAGGGGGGATTTGATAGCTGCTTTCAACTACCTGAAAGGGGGTTCCAAAGAGGATGGCTCTAGTCTGTTCTCAATGATAGCAGATGACAGAACAAGGAGTAATGGTCTCAAGCTGCAGTGGGGGAGGTTTAGATTGGATATTAGGAAAAACTTTTTCACTAAGAGGGTGGTGAAACACTGGAATGCGTTACCTAGGGAGGTGGTAGAATCTCCTTCCTTAGAGGTTTTTAAGGTCAGGCTTGACAAAGCCCTGGCTGGGATGATTTAACTGGGAATTGGTCCTGCTTCGAGCAGGGGGTTGGACTAGATGACCTTCTGGGGTCCCTTCCAACCCTTATATTCTATGATTCTATGGTGAAGCTGCCCAGCTGCTTGCTGCGGACCCAGAGGGACATCCTGCCAGCACACACTGATCCAGGTGTTCTCAGGATGATAATGACGCTTGGCATCCCACTGTGGTCAGGGAGGGCATGCAAGGCTTCTCATCCCGTTCATTCCTGGGCAAAGGCCGTGTTCTTTACACGTGTGGCTTTGAAGCAATCTCACAGCCCTCGCTGCTCTCTGGCCCACGAAAAACGCAGTGATCCGGTTGTTAGTGAGTTCTTGGCCCTTCAGAGAGCAGCAAGCGTACAATGAGCACGGTGTGTGCTGCCTCTGTAGTAGCAACCCTGCAATAACAAACCCTAGAGAGAACGTACCATTCAGAGAGAGTCTTGCTGGGCAACCCACTTTCACATTTCCGAAGAACCAAAATGAGAAAAATCCCTTGACTGCAAATACCCCCTCTGCTGGGAGAAGCGTTTCTCTAGCTAAGATGTCTCACACTAGGTATGCTCAGGCCAAGCCACCCAGGTATCGGTCCAGTGGCCTCTGAATTCCTAGCAGAGCTAGGAAGACCCAGCCCAGGAAACCCATCTGACAGCTTGTGACTTTCCTTCCCCAGGTCCATGAGAAGCTTGGTGACCAGCTGGACAGTCTGGACCCGCACCTGCTGACAGATCTGGTGTGGTCACTGTGCGTGCTGCAACAGGCAAAGACTCCCTACCTGCAAAGGGTGCTGGCCCCACAGTTGTATAGCCAGCTTCTGGGTAAATGTAGATGTATCAAGGACTTGGGATGTGCCTGTATCTGCCAGTGGAGATGGAGAGAGCGGGAGCCTTTTAAGACCATGGGGAACCTGACAGCTCAAGGGATTGGGAATGGGAGTATTGCACCTTTGTCCTCCAGGTTGTCAGTTCCTGTCTGGCCCAGGTGACAGTGACGGTCGGTCGGTCGTTGCCTATCCCATGATGGGTGAGATGAATGTAGTCTCAGTTCCATTGCCGACAGATGTCATGTCACAAATCCACCACCAGGTGGCCCTGTTGTAACAGTTGCAGCAGAGAGGTGAAGGATCGAATGAGTGATGGTATCAGTCTGTCCAGGCCCCGGGTGAGGCACACAGGCTGGGTCACGTATGGGGAGCTGGCCTCGCTGCTGTCTGTTATAACCCCCAGGACAGTCCTGAAGTGGCTGGAAGTGGGAAGCACAGCAATAATTCAGCAGCCAGGCCGTGGGGCATGGGGGCTGTGGCTAACCCAGCAGCACTAGCTCCCAATCTCTGCTGGGCATTCGCGTTTGGGTTTGTGGGTGTGATGGAGAGGGCCCCGGATGGAAGTGAGTGTAATGCTCATGAAAATGAAGTGCCAATAGCATTGACTTGAGTGTGTCCTCCCCCACAGTGTTCTTCCAGAGGGCATCCCTGCTCATCTACCGCCCTGAGCTACTCCAGTCCTGGCCCCACATAGCCCTTCTGATGCACTTTAACTGCCCCCCGTTGCTCTCCCAGCCCTGGGCACGCTGGCGCTGTGTATTTCTTTATGTGGGTAACTCTTCACCAAGGAGTGGTTTGATGCCACTAGCCTTGGATTTTTGATTTGTCCTGGAAGCTGGAGTCTGAGCACAGCTCAGTAATGTGAAAAGGCTAGTTTGCTGCTCTGTTCCTCACTCACCCACCCATTCCTGCTGAATTCTAAAGTCTGGGAGTGCGTATGTGAACAGCAGCTGTCAGGTCCACCCAAGAACTCTGCAGCTTCCCCTTCCCCCTCCCCCTGCAGCCATGTCAAATTCAGTACTTGTCTTCTCCCTGGTGGGTACTGGCCCATCCAGCTGCCACAGCAACACCTGTAGTTCATGGGCCCCACGTCCCACTCATGGACCCTGGGGATAAAACCGTGCTACAGACACCCAGCCTCTGTGAGGTTTGCAAAGCTGCTGTAGTTGGCAGGGAATGAGATTTGTTCTGCCAGCTCAGCAATCTGAAAGGCCGTGAGCCCTTCTCAGCATGAGTATACCACAGAGGGGGTTGGCAACGGCCTCTGGTTAGAACAGCCACTTCCGGAGTCTGCCACAGGGGGCATCTGTCTAGCCGAGTGACATCCTTTGGGTGGTGCTGCCCGTGGGGGTTCCCGTATGGTGCTGGCTCTGCTGTTAGTGATGACGTGAAACACTGGGCACGCTCCTTCCTGGAGTGACTATGGCCGGGTACGCTTGGGTCTGTGTGCTCACGTCTCTGTAGCACAGAGCTTCTCCTGACGTGGAGACCCACGGGGTAGTGATAACGCTTGTTCCATGCCAGTGCCACTGAATCGCAGCTGGGCACAGGGATCTTACCCCACACACCTCAAGGACCCTGTGCTGGGCAGAGCGCATGTCCCTTCCCCGTGCTCCTGGGCGTTCTCCCTCAAAGCCCGCCTCACAGGCTTGGTGCTGCCAAAGCTGCAACTGCCCAGTCCCTGGAGATCAGGCGCTAGATGCAGCAGGGGGTAGGTGCCCCCCTCAAGGTACTGAGCGTGCATTGCAATCAGTGGGAGGTTGTTCAGCACCTATGTCTAACGGGACATAGCGTTGGATGGGACCTGCTGGGTCACTGAGTGCAGTCCCTGCTGTCATGGGCAAGCCCCAGCGTATAATCCCACTTGTCACTGTGGGCCCTGCAGGACCAGGTTCTGAGTGGCAGATGTGGGGCTAGAGCCCACAAGCCCCGAGTCCTGCTATGAAGTGGACTGAGTTGAACTTTTAGGAGATCTGAGTGGCTGAGCCCTCGGTCCAGGCCCCTCCCTTGGGCCAGGTCTTCATTGCTGCCCTTTTTACCCAACAGCCGACCAGACGCCCAGAGGACAGAACTACAGGCTCAAACTGATGCATATCAATGCTGCTGCCAGGCTGGAGTGCCCGGGCTACCAGGGGCCCTTCCTTCCGCCAGAGGCCCTGAGTGCCACGGAGCCAACCAGGGACACGAAGGCCTCTCCGCTACAGAGCAGCCTGCAGGAGGTGCTGAACAGGGTGGCCAAAGACGAGGTTAACAGGCGGTTCAACGTGCACACCATTTATGGCTGGCAGCTTGGTGAGTGTGTTCTTGGGGACCCGAGCCCAGGGCTGCAGTGACTTCAATGTGAATGAACTGGGGAGCTCCTGCGTTGTCCAGAGAGCACATGGCGTGTAAACTCCTCCCTCCTGACATTCACCCACTTGCGTGGCAGTCCTGATGCAGCCCTCCTGTTCACCCACTGATCCATCACCTGGCTCCCACTGCAGCTGTGCCAGGGCACCTCCCTCCTGACGTGTGCATCAGTCTGAGGTGCCTCCTCGCCCTGCCAGTGCACCTCCCTCCTGACCCCTCTGCTATTCCAGTCCTGAGCAGAGACAGCTCATGGGGCCAGATGGTTTTGGCTTTGTGAACCCCGTGCACCTGACCTTTCTACCCCCTGGCTCCAGGGGTGACAGGCTCTGTCCTGCCGTGCTCCCCAGCTCCAGGGCTCTGGATCACTGGTGGTTAGTTAGCACAGGGTGGAACACACTGTTTCTCAGACATATGCCTGACTGTCTCAGGGAAGCGACAAGGCAGATGGAAAATTGTCTCCCCTCTGGGTTGGCTAGACCAGTCCCTATGTCCCAGCCTGCAGAGCTGCTAGGCAGACCTCGGGGAGGAAACGCCCTGTCCTCCCGTACCATTGTGTGAACAGCAGCTGTCAGGTCCACCCAAGAACTCTGCAGCTTCCCCCTCCCCCTGCAGCCATGTCAAATTCAGTACTTGTCTTCTCCGTGGTGGGTACTGGCCCAGCTGGCTGCCACAGCAAGACCTGTAGTTCATGGGCCCCATGTCCCTCTAATTGGACCCTGGGGATAAAAACATGCTACAGACACCCGCCATGAGCTAGGAGAGGTGGCTGCTGTGTGTGACTGCAGCTCCCCACCATCCACACAGAGCATAAGACACAGTGGAATGGCCCTGCTGGACCCACTGCCATTGGCTAGCAAATCAAAGCCAAAATGCAACTCTGTCCAGGGGGTAGGTTGGTAGCAGGGCAGGTGCTCGATGGCGGGCACTACCCCAGCTGGCCAGTTAGTGTCACCCTCTCACGGGTGAGCCGGTGGGCCTAGGCAAGTCTTTGTGCATCATCAGATCTCCCTGGGGATGTGGCCCAGTAGAACAACTGATGTTAATCAGGAGCCAGCCAGACCTCAGGAGTCCCTGTGGTTTCCCCTCTCTCCTGTGTAGATGCAGAGATGATGCTGAACAGCGACAACCAACCTCTCCCCATAAAGGACTTTGCTGCCCCCTACCTGCTCCAGTCAGAAGGGACAAAACCCCCACCCTGCGGCACCAGGAGGTGAGTGCCTAGCCACACCAGAGATCAGGCCCTGCTGCGCTATGTAGGCCAGGATGAAGGGTCTAAGTCCGCCCCAGCCCTGTGGGAGTGAGGGGAGGAAGGCTGCCGTGTGTGTAAGTGCTCAGGATGAGGTGAGATGTTTCTGCACTTGCAGTAGTGAAAGCAGAACAAGTGCATTAACTCCCTGGCAGCCAGGCCTGGCAGCTCATGGCACAGACCCGCTGCCAGCTGTGCCACGGCTGCATCATGACCGCTGAAACTCGGGCAAAGGAAGATGGGCGCTGTGAGCAGACTCTGGGGAATGGTAACCACAAGCTGCCTAGCTCCTGAGAGTCCCCTCCCTACCTCTCCCACCTCCCTAGAAGTCCCCACAGACACACAGGATACAAGCTGATCGGGATAACCAGCATCTTCATCTAAAAGTTCCCTTAGCCAGCCACTGGGAAAGAAGTTCAGCTGGGGATCATGGGGGGACCCATACCCCTTTCCCCTGCTCAGGCTGGAATGAGTGAGCCCCCAGCTCATGTCCACACTCAGCCCAAGCAGCTGTGAGTAGAACCACTAGTTAGGGAAGGGGGAGGGGGTGTATGGGAAGATGCTGATGCTAATTGGGCAGTGCAGGCTCCCTAGCCAGCAAGGCCCCTTTCTTTCTCCTTATTAACCTGCTTGGGCCTTCAAGGTTTAGCGCCCCATTGCTCGGCAACGGCATGGATGCTGAGACTGAAACCTACGAAGCACTACTCCAGTCAGTAGTGGCTGGCTCGATCTTGGTCTAGTGCCGGGTGGAGCAGTGTCCACATCAATCTGCCACTGTAACTGGCCCCTCATCAGAGGCCGTGGGGACTAAACTGCCCTCTCACATTGTTGCTGGACTTATTCTGTGGTTAAATTGTTCTAGCATCTTTCCCCAGCATTCATATTCACACACACACACCAAACAAATCGCAGGGCTGAGTAATCTCCTGGGCATAGTACTTGTGCCTGTAAATGCTCAGACAGGGGCCCTCTGATCTCTTGCCTCAGGACCTGAACTAATCTCCCGGACCCTGGCCCCTGGCATTGCTGCTCCTGACCCCAAACGTGTAGCCCTGCACAACTGAAAGGCTGCGATGCTCCTGTTACTGTCCTCTGAAGCATTAGATATTGGTGACTGCTGCATGCAGGATAATGGACGCCAGTCAGTGGGCCGGGGGTCTGATCCAGCATGCCAGCGCTCGTGCCCTGTCCGATCCAGAGCAGGCAGCAATCGCAGCTGGGTAGAGCGGCTCCTCGTAGCATTGCGAAGTGCTTATTCCTGTGGAGCTTTGGCAGCTGCTCAGAGCCAGCAAAGCGTCCTGCCTGCAGAGCCCAGGGTACACAGCGCTCTCGATTGTGATAGGTTTGAGCGTGCGCCTGCTCCTGAGTCATTCTGCCCCTTCCCTCTGTGTGCGTCTCCCTCACAGGATCGCTTTCCTGAGGTGGGAGTTCCCAAACTTCAGCAGCAGAAGCAAGGACCTGCTGGGCCGCTTCGCCATGGCCCGACGACACTTGCAAGCCGCTGGGTTCTTGATCGTGGATGTGAGTAGCCAGCGAGGGCCATGGCCTTCTCCCCCTGCTCCCAATACTAGAATGAATTGGGGCTCGACCTCCGTTACCCGACAGCTGACGAACAGCACAGCATGCACCTTAGTGGTGTAAGGTAGCCCAATAAACATGGCCAAGAGCCCTTCCAGTCTCCCTCTCCCCTTGGGAGGAATGTGGCCTCGCTCAGTGATCCAAATTCATTGCATGAGTTACCTGAAAGGCAGCAGCCAAAACCATCACTGGGACTGAGGGACTGATCTGAAAGGGGACTATGAGCTGGAAACAGAAGAGACCTGGCCTCAGAGCTGACTACGGGGACAAAGGTTGGCAGAATGAGCATGGCGGGGGGGGGGATTATTTAGGTTGGTGCAGGAGAGGGGGTCGGTCTAATGCAGTGAGATGAGATGAGATGAAGGAGAGAACTTCCTGCCAGGGAGAGCTGGGGACTAGTTTTCCCAGGCAAACAGGGAGGAGCCGCAAACTGGAGTAGCCAGAGCCCAGTGACTGGGCTGTAGGGAGTCGTCCTGCACATGGTGACTAAGGAAGGGGCCTACTGGGTCTCTTCCTGTAACTGATATTAAAGTGGTCCCCAGATCAGCAGTAGGGGCTGACATCCAAAGGAGAGCAGCCCTGTTGGTTGTCTCTTCTGCATCTCTAGGGATATGTGACTGTCCCTAGCTCAGTCTAACGCTTTGCCAAGGTGATTGGCCAGGTTTTTTTCAAATGTCCAATTTAAGGGGCCTTTTCCCAGGAAGTGCTGAGCACCCGCCCTTGAAGAATGAAGTCCCTGCAGGGAGTCTCCAGTTGGGCACCCAAAAATCACCGTCGCTTGAAAGTTACCCCCCACCCCCACTTCCAATGGTCGTGGATCTTGGGGACCCCCTGTTCTGAGCAGGTTCAAGGAGGTGCTTTGGCTCAGCTTGGGGGCCGGTTGTTAAAGGGTCTTGCATTGTGACGAGAAGACTGCTGTGCAGGTCCAGCGTGCGTCTTAGCTGCTGTGTGTTCTGCAGCTGCTGTTGGTTTGAAGACACTTTAATAGCCATAATCAAGGGCTGCCTCTGGCCCCAGCGGCTGGGACTCCCGTACATTTCAGTGTGGCGAGAGAGTACGGAGGAGGGGCAGAGCTCTGAGCATACAGCCTAAGCATAGCCTGTCAAGGCAACCGGAGGGATGGGTGGGGCACCCAGTGTTGTCTCCGTCCCTGCGTGTCCAGAGAGATGGTCTGTAGGTCACCTGGGTTCAAACCCCCTGGGATCAGCAAACAATCTTCTCCTGGCCACCCGTTGATCTAGACTCCAAAGATGGGGGAGTTGGGGGGATGACAGTGAAGTGAAATGTCAGCCCTGCCTCTTCCTGCCCATTGATCCATCCGGCAGGAGGCCTGCCTGCGGACCAGTCATTCATTATTTCACATCCTGTGGGTAATAGCTCAGGCTTGTACTGAAGGAAGGTGGTTGGTAGCACCCCTCTCTGGAGAGGCAGGTGTAAATGTCCCAGCAAAGAGGTTGGAAGCAGAGGGGCGACACTATATGCCATGTTTGAATGAGGCTGAATGCTGGGGCGTTGCCTTTTTAACTCTGGCCAGCAGAGGTTGCTGGGCATCACCTATGGGCCTGTGCGTGAGGAAGCTATTAGGGGATTTGTTTATTGATTGGGCACAGCAGAGGTGCCAGGTGCCGTAGAAATGGGGTCCTGGTCCTTGTCTAGAAAATCTAGTCTATAAACCGCACTTACCTGAGAGCCCATCAAAGTATCTGGCCATTGATCAGCCTTGTCTGGGAGCCAGAAACGCCAAGGGTCTAACCCTGGATCTGACCTTCTCTCCCTCGGTGCTACTGGGCGAGTCGCTGGCTCTCTGCTTTGGGCCTTGTTTCCACGGGCGTTTTCAGCCTCCCGTGCAACTGCACTACTAGTGCAAAGCCCTAGTGCAGACACACCATGCGGCTGTCAGCCATGGCCTGATCCAGGACGCTGCATCTGCTCAAGGGGCCTGTGCCTCTTACCCACAATGGTGGCTGATAACCCCTGGGAATCAGTGGGACTGCTCCTGGCTCCCTGGGCTGTTGTGTGACTTAGTTAGCGCGGGGTTGACCATCCTCCAGTGCTATCTCAATACAAGGTGTTACTGTTTCTGTGGACCAGACATTAGCCTGTTCCCTCTTTCTCTGCAGATTCATTCCTGCCCAACACCTCCTCTCCTTTCCCCCTTCCTCGCGTTTGTCAAAGCTCCCCAGTTTCTAGGCACTGCATCAGCACCTGCGTTCGGTGCAACGCTTACGCTAAGTATCTGAGGAGCAAGACGACGCTCACAACGGAACTCCCCCTCTAGCTATTTCTCCACAGCCTGTCCTGTTCTCTTCGCCCTGCCCACGCGCTGTCACTGTGGGTCCTTGGAGGGCTTTTCGGGTCCTTGCAGCTTCTGGCTCCCCTGAGCTATATATAGAGGGGGAATCCTACCAAGCTGTAATGATTTCTCCTGGTGTAAATGACTAGATCTCTTTCCCAGGGACGGCTCTAGTCCCACACTTCCAGTGCAGCTGGAGGGAAAGCTGCTGATCCAAAGGCAGAGACGATAGGATTCTGTTTTTTCAGTACCTTTCTATCTAGGTGCCTGTCTGGCCCTGGTGTGCTGGTTCTCCTCAGTCATTCTTTATTCTCTCAGCCCCCGGGGGGGCAGCAAAGCATCATCCCGCATCTTAGAGAGACTGTGATTTAAGGCCAGAAGGAACCATACTGATCGTGGAGTCTGAGCTGCTGCAGAACCCAGGCCAGGGAGTCTCGCCCCAGTGGGCATCTGAGGCACATGGACTAAGGGACTTGCCCAGGGCTCTCAAAAAGTCTGTGGCAGAACCAGGAACTGGAGTCCCAGCCCAGTGCCTTTCCCCACCACTGCTCCATGGACCGCAATCCGCAGCCCACACTTGAGAAAGCAGTAGGCTCTGCGGAAGCCTGCGCTCTGAGGCTTGTTGGTAACTGCAGCGACGCTGGCTCAGGAAAGCAAGACGCGGAGCTCCCCTCGTCCACCCTCCCTGGGCCCGCCAGCCACCTTCACTTGTTACTAAAGCCAGCTGAGTAGACCGTATCCCAGAGCAAGCAAGTGCAGAGTCGGCTTCCTTCCAGTTTGTGGCCGATATTGACAGCCTGAGGCAGGACCTGATCTGAAACTAGTGCCAGAATTCCCACTGCCTCTCGCGGTGCTGCCTTGGGGCCCTGGCTTCCTTGTGGGATCTATAGACCAGTGACTTACATTCTGCCTAGTGTGGGTCTTCCCCACCTGGCCCAGCTGCCTTCTCCATGGGCTACACATCGCACCCTCTCCACACGGCTGCAAGCTTAAGTATCCCTTGTTGCCAAGCATCTCCTTATTCCTCATTTCTAAATCAGTGCTTTGTCTGCCTTCCACACCCTGGTAGTGGGAAGTGATAATAAAGTGGGTGGGTGAAGAGAAGGAACTAGACCATGTAACATTTGAAATGCTGTGTGTCCAATAAAAAAATAATCAGAAGCTAAACCTGTGCTCATTAAAGCTCCCCTGATTCTTCCTGGAGAGTCAGCATCTTAGCTCCTCTGCTTTAGATAGTTGCCTCTCTGATGTTAATTTGGGTGGGGTGTTGTATTCATCGCTACTAGCTTTGTACTGTTGCTGTGCTCCATTGAATAGCTGCTGTGCTCCACCCCAGAAGTGGCTGCAGTGAGTTTGCCTATCCATTTAATAATAATAGTTGGTATTTGGTTGTAGCACTTTGTGCCTCTAAAGCGCTGAAGATTTATAAAGGCCTCCTGCAAGTTACCATTTATACAAACTACTTCAGAGCCTTGAATAGACACAACCTTCAAACATCCGTGTAAGACGCTGCCCCCACCTGGCTTGGAGAGGTATATGAAAGGCTCCAGCGTGTCTGATTTGGCGGAGGCTGGCAGCTTTTTAATGTGCGTCAGAGCCACTGGCAACCCCAGAGGCCCTGCTACCCAAGTACTCCGTTAATAATAGCGGGCGGCCAGCTGCCAGCAACACTGGTGGAGCTGCCAGTGAACTGCCTGCTTGCTCTGCACGCTTCCCAAGCTGCTCTTCCACCTTTGTGGCGTGGACCCCCCCCTCAGCAGTAGGCGATGCGCCCATGCTACAGTGAACAGTAACATAGTACCTACACAGGGCTAGCCAGGAAATGTCACTTTCCTGCAGCCCTGTCAAATTCAGTACTCGCCTCTGTCCTGGTGGGTACCGACCCAGTCAGCTGCCACAGCAACATCTGTAGTTCTTGGGCCCCACATCTCTATCACTGTGTGCTGGGAATAAAAATACACTACAGCCACCCAGTGCGGGCTAGGAGACCGTACTGATCTTGCTTTGAAATAAGGAAATGTTCCTTCAGCTGCCAGAATGGCGGAGGACTGCGTCACATGGCAGCTGTGACGGCTGTGTGGTGGCCTGCATGAAAGGAGATTGGGTGTCTGAGCCCCTTTCCGAGCAAACCCACGTCTGCGTTGTAGAAACTCCTCACGACAGCAGCTCCCTCGGTGGCGGTCTTGGCAGAAGGGCCAAGGACTGCCTGCAGGCTGCTCCCTGCTGGCTGGCGCAGAGCGGAGCGGCTCCGCATATGCACCAGGGTTCCAGCGTCTCCGTCCACAACTACCCTTATTTATTTCTAAGCATTTTTAAAAGCATGTGCTGAGCTGCCTGTGTTGCAGTCATGGGGCATGACTTTAGCTGGTGCGGCTGCCACCCCTTGGAGGGGTGAGATGTGGGGTCACTAGTCCTCCATGCACTGTCTAGTTGCATGACTGCTTTTGGGATCGGAGATTTTGCAGAGCTGCGGGGTGCTGAGTGCTCTAGATACTGTCCGCCGTTAGCCCAGGCCAGCCACACACAAGCTGGGTCCCATCGGGCATTTTGCAGCGAGGTGGCCAGAGAGCTCTCCCTCCCTGGAGTGGGCTGGAGACGCCGGCTGATTGTAACTGCCTCTCCAGGCAGGTTAGGTTCTGCTGGAGTCTCATGCTGAGACTCTCAAGGGCTGTATCTTTGCTCCACGTGGTTCCTGAGGCAGCTAGGGAGAGGGAATCTGTTTTCAAGCTGAGGCTGCCTCCTGTAGCACGCACGCACACACACGCCCCCCCCCCCGCCCCCGTGGTCTGTGCTAATACCACGCTCCCAGAGGAGAGCCAGGCAGTCTCATGCCAGTGGGATTGGGCATGATGGAAGTGTTGTCCAAAGGGTCGCTCTGCGTCCCCGGCAGGCTTGGGGCTGTGATCCCTTAGACACCTCACCGCAGGGACCACCTCTCTTTTGGGGGCTGGTCAATGTCACCTGGCTGATTGCTGATCACTCCTGCCTCTCTCCACCGGGGCCAAGCAAGCTGGCTCCACAGCACTGCCCAGCCCCAAGAGAGATCAGCACGGCCGCCCCATTGTCAGTCCTGACCCCGCTCCCTGCCCTCTTCTGCTGCAGGTTCCCTACTATGAGTTTCTGGAGCTGAAATCGGAGTGGCAGAAGGAAGCCTACCTCAAGGACAAAATGAACAAAGCCGTGGGGGTAGAGATGGCTAAATGAACCCCGAACCTGACGACGGACGGACTCTAGTCTTTGCATCCAGCGTGAGACAGAGAGAGGATTGCCTCAATCGACTGGAGTGCAGCTGCTGTGAACGGGCCTTGTGCTCCCCAGGAGTGGGGAGGAGGAAGGCAGAGGTGTGGGTAGCGTTGTGTATATAAATATGTATTGGAATAAATTCTCTCTTGTACAGGCCAACTTGCATGGGGCACCGCTGCCCCACTGCACATTCAACCAGTGAGGGGGGCCCGTGTAACAGCCTGCATGCCCGGCTAGCCCTCGGGTTGCTCCCCGTGCATGCAGTGTGCTCACCAAGGCTGGTGTGGGTGCTCGTCCCTGGCAGGAGGAGGTGAACGGGGCTGGTATCAGCAGAGGCCAGGGGGAGGGGCATGTGGACATTGAAGAGCTCCTCTCTTTACCTTCTGCCTGGAAGCTTGTTTGTTTATTCCTGTTCGGCTGGCTGGAGGAGGCTGCCCGGAACTATCCGCCCTCTCCGCGCTGTCTGGCGACGGTGCAGAATGGAAGCAGAAGCTGCTTGTGGCCTGAGAGCAGTTCCACGGGTAGCTTCCTTCTACAGCTGGGCTTTCTCCCTTGCTTCTCTCCAGTGTGGGAGGGTTTGGGGGAAGAGGAGGGAACATGAGGTCCTACGCAGGCTCTCAGAAGAAGTGAATTTATCTCCTGGGCTGCTGTTAGTGGCTTATCCCAGACACTGAGTATATTACAAGGAGACCTAGAAGCCCCTGGCTGGATTGGCGCCCTACAGCTCTATGGCACTTTTCATGTTACAATCTCACAGCTTTATGTACATTAACTGAGCCTCATCTCTCTGAGGTAAACTGCAGAGCAGTGAAGTGACTTGCCATGGGTCACAGCAAGTCATGGGCAGGAGCTAGGATTAAAACCCAGGATTCCTAGCCCATTAGCTGCTCTAGTTGCTAACCAGTGCTCTCCTCCTCCCGCTCACGAGCAGGGGAAGGCCCTGAAGATCATGAACTGAGCAGGGCGGGCTTCCAGGTGGTATTTTCTCTCCTTGGAATCTCTCTTCAGCCAAGACTGTGGTATCAGGCTGACTTGGGTCATCTTAACACAGCTGGGACAAGGTCTCTACCTACCACAGCAGCAGCAGCCATGTGTTTGTGAGCATTGCAGCGGGGATAGAGCTATCTACACTCGGCGTCCGCATGGCCTAACCCAGTCCACCAAAGGGGAGAGAGGTGGTGTTCTCATCAATCTGAGGGTCAGTAGCTTTCACTGTGCCAGTGTGCCTCAGAAGAATCAGTGCGCCTTTGATAATGCCTGCAGGAATGTGTATCGTGGGCTGGCAGATCTCATGCACTGAGCAGGGTCTGGGCTCGTTATTAGTGGGAGATCAGACCTCTAAGGAGGATCCTTGCCTGTTTCCAGCAGTAGCCCGACACATGTGGCATTCATCCCTCTGAGCTGCATCCAGAGGCAGGTTCTATCTTGTGGATTAAGTGCAAAACCAAGCTCAGGTGGTCACTCAGATCCCCTGGCCCTTTCCACCAGATGAGAGCTGTGGCCCACAGTGACCTGGCCAAATCCTGTGCTCCCAGGAGCCTTGGGGGATATGTGTAACAATAAATCTGAGCTGGATCTGAAAATGAACCAGGGAGCCAGTGGAGTTGTGTGTGATTGTGAGGGGGGGAAAAGGGGTTACACTTTAGTGTAGGAGGTATGGAGCAGCAGCCAGGGTGGTGGTTTCTCCCCAGTGTCACGCATTACAGTTGCTGTGGATTGTGTCCTGAGCTGCCGGCTCTTCTGAATCCTCATGCTCCCAAGAAATACCAAACCAGCTGCTCTCTTTGTAAGGGCTTATATAACCTAGCATGCTTCCTGTGGGCTGCTGAGCATCACTGCCCATTGCTGTCACTTTCCAGCTGACTGCCCAGCAGCACATCTCTATCCCCCCTCCCCTGCGTTCAGATCCAGGATCCTTTCCTTGCTGCAGTGTTGGTTTTGGGTTGGATCAGCGCCGAGTGCAGGGTGCATGTTTGCTCCTGTGTGCCTGGAGCACAATAAACCCCCATGCTTTCGCAAAGGGGCCTCGGTGCTGAATGCAGAGCTCCGCACCAATATCCCACTGCCAGCCTGCAGCAGGAACCGCCTCGTATCCCTGGGGAGCTGTCGGTGCCATGAGAGGAGCCCAGTTTAACAGGCCGCAGTGACAGGGGAGAGTTTGCAGGGACCCTGGGCTCCGTGGAGGCCTGGGTTGGAAACCTTTCCAATGTGCTCAGATCAGCTGAGCCGAGAGGGAGTTGTCTGTCTGGACTTGGACGAGCTAATAGGTTCTGTCTGAGCATTTCACCCTTTGAATCGCTATAGACATCTGATCCCACTACCGTGAGTTGGGAGCCAGTTAGTGGCATGGATGGCTCTAAACATCCTTCGTGTCCAGTCGCAGCATTGCTGATAGTAACCCCAGCTGCAGACCGTGCTCCATGCCTGCCGCTGTGCCGGGCTGCCCCATGGATGTCTCTCTGAGACCAGTCCAACACATTGTAATTCGCAGTGGACACGGGGCCTCCTGGCTTCCGGCTCTCTGCTGTGTGCATTGCTCTGTCTGTCTGTCAGTCACACACTACATCCCCTGCTGAGGCCCTCTGGGGCACCCAGGTTTTCCCACTGCCACAGATACGCCACATGGTAGGTGCGGATGCACAAACGTGGTCCAAAAGCTGCTAATGTGGAGGCAGCGGGGCTGAGGAGTGATGCACAAACTGGTGTGGTGGTGGCAGCCTGGGCTTTGGAGGTGGGTGATGTCCCTCCCTCAGGGGTCAGTGCAGGGCTGTCCCCAGCAATCTACCCCTCCAGGCTTCCTCCAAAATGCCTCAGGCAGCGAGGCTGTTGGGATGTGCCTGCCCTGGGGTTGGAAAGTGGATTCAACGAGGAGAGACCGTTAAAGGCCAGTGCCCCCCAGCGCTGCATTCCAGAAGGAAAGTGCTTAGCCTGCCATAGCACCCTGGTAGCTACTGGGGGAGTAGCGGGGCCTCTTGTTTGGGGGGTAGGGCAGCAAGCAGGGGGTGGGGGGTTGCTCTGAGGCAATAAGCGGAAAGATGGAGAAACCACAGGGAGGAGATGGGCACAGCAGGCCCCAAGGGGCTGGTGTGATTCAGGGACATGGGGAGCTGCAGCGCTGCTCCAGGCTGGCTGGCTCACTAAGGGGTGACCTCATTTAAGAACGCAGAAGGGAAGAGACGAGAGACACTAGAATGAGCGAGTTTTTGAACACAGGGATCCAGGCACAATTGCAGCTAAGGAAGGGGTGAGCCCAGACAAGGAATCTACCTAGCAATTCAAACCAGACTGGCCACCCATTTCCCTATAGGCTTATATGGGTCTCTGTGGGTCTAGGCTTCAGGCCAGCCTGCTGAGCTCAGGGGGAATTGACACCCGCTGAGATCAATTAAAGGGACGTTGGTCCAGTTAGATTTGGCCCAGAACTTCCCACTTGTAAATGACCCCTCTGCTCAGTAGAAATCTCACCCTGGGTTTCTTTTGAAAGCCCACAGGAAATGGGGCTTTTTTAAATTAAAACAAGCAAACAAGTCACTGACCCTTTTGCCCCCCAAATACCACAGCATGGGAGGTGAACACCAGGCCAAGATACAGCAGAGGGTGCTAGCCTTCTTCCCCAATGCACAATCGCACCTACACAACACCAGCAAATGGGAACCACCTCCGATCTGGTCACCGCGTTCCACTGGAGTGCTAAAGATCATCATCCATGGCGCTCCCCACCATCCAATTCCACTCTGTGCCCACCACCCAGGCCTCGGCCCCATCCCTCTTCAGGGACCCTTCTCACAAGAGCCCGTTACAAACAGAAATACCCTAATTGCTCAGCTAGGAGTCACAGAGGAGGGTCCAACAGCCTGTGCTACTAAGTGGCACCAACCGCTGGCCTGGATGCTGCAGGTCTGGCATGGAAGCGACAACACCCTGCGGCTATTTGGCGCCAATCCTGCATTGCAGGGGCCCTGTTAAGAGGGGTGTTGTGAAAGGGCCTAAGAACGATGGCTGGAGCTTTGGGTCCCGCCAGCCTCACTCCAGGGAAGCAGGTGAGTGCTGGACAACAGAGCTCCATTTCCTGCAGTTCCAGCGTCGGTACAATTCACAGCACTTCAAAAATGACCGAGGCCGCTAGCCCCAGTGGGAGTCAGGAGCCTCGATCCTTAACTGGATACAACGGTGTAAAATAGACTCGCCATCTGTGCTCCCTGCCAATGCTTACACAGAGGAGGCAGCCAGCCAAGTGCAGTGGGGCCACGTGCCTGGTAAAGTTGCCCCCTTTCCTTGCAACTGAGTCTCCCGCTTGCGTTCGTAGCAGCTGGCCCTGCTCTTTCTCAAATGAAAGCCCTGCTAGAAGGAGGAGGGAGCTGGTGGCTGCTCATTCCCAGCACAAATTGTCTTTGAAAGAGGGCGGGAGGCAGAAATTCAGTTAAAAACCAACCCTTTCGTGTCACCTGTCTGTATCCTAAAGACACTATCAAGGGCCCAGACCTGTGTCTCTTCCTGTCCAGCTCACCTTTCACGAGAGAGTGCACAAGGGGAAACACGTAGCTCCTGTTTATTAAGGCTTTCGATGCAGCCCTTCCCCAGAGGCGGTTCACATGCTGTTCTTCTCTGACAACCCATCCAAAAAGCCAGGCACTTCCAAAGGAAAAACTGGGCCAGTCCTGGAGGCTCGAGCTGGGCTCAGCCTGTCTCGTGGCTGGCAGTAAAAATTCTGCAGCATCAATTCCACCCCGTCACACCTGTTCAGCCCCATTGTCTTGGGATTCTGCCCCTTGCTTTCAGTATAAGGGGATGACTGAGGAAGCTACTTAGCCGTGCAGCTGGCCCTCCCTCTCACTGCCAGAAGCTGGGCTGGGACAACAGGGAATGGACCACTCAATAATTGCCCTGTTCAGTTCGTTCCCTCTGAAGCAGATGGCATTGGCCACTGTCAGAAGACAGGATGCTGGGCTAGGTGGACCGTAGGTCTGACCCACTCCGGCCGTCCTTATGTTCGCTCGAATGCCCTGTGGATGATGCCTGAGCCAGAACAGAGTCTGGCCCCCTGTCACCTAGCTGGGCGGCTCTGCAGGGTGAGGCAAATCTGCTGAGCAGGGAGGGGGCAGCAGGGTGACTATGGCTGCTCAGGGGGACGAGCCGTAGCCAGCAGGGAGCCACAAGGGCTGGGTGGCCGGTTACCATGGGAGGAGATGCACAGCACTGAAACCAGTTGGGGAGTGCATGCTGCCACTCACCAGCGCTAGTCCCGAGGGCCAGCTGTGTATGCCTCAGCCATGGTGCACCTGCAATGATCCCGAGGGCTACAGCAGATGAGGGGGCCAGAGACCCCCCACAGGAGACCCACCATATATCTCTGCCCAACACTCAGTAGATGGGACTGAGTGCGCCCACGGGGCCGCTCTGCGCATGGAAGACATTTTTCGGTGGCCACTTTCTGTATATCCCCGTAGTAATGATGGGGCAAAGATGCCCAGCCGTGGATTAAACCTGGCTATAGGATCTGGGACAGCGATGAATAAACAGCCACTCTCTGTATGCAAAGAGGCCAGCCATGTGGTGCCTGGGGGATCTGGACCAGGCCTAGCCTTCAGTGTAGTCAGATTGCAGATGGGGAAACCGAGGCACGGGATGGCATAATGAGAAAGGTTGGGGGGGCCCCATGAGGCTCTTGGGGATGGGGACACAGACAATTCTACAAACCTAGTCAACTGGAAAATAAATGAGGGCGAGATGGGGCCCCAGCTCTGAGACAGCTGGGTTGCAATCCTGAGCTGGGGGCTTCTGTGGGATCTTAGACTCCTCACTTGCCTCAGTAACAGCTTGCTGCAGTGAGTTCCACAGAAGAACACAGAGAGACAAAGCCCTTTCCATGACACAAGATGAATTTAGTCACATGCCCTCTTGTTCTTGTGCAACGGGATAATCCACAGGCCTTTGCTGCATCTTAATTTCTAATGCACCCGGCCAGATGCTCAGCTGGCGTAAATGAGCATAGCTCCAAGCTCTGGCTCGAGCCACTCTCCTCCTCTCTATGTCCACACTGGACTGACTGAGCTGAGGTGAGTCAGGTTCCTCAGGGCCCTCATGTGTAGATAGGATGGCTGAGCTCTGTGGCATCCAACTTTTTCCGTGCAAATAGAGGCCAAGCTGTGGGGCTGGCTGGAGTTGGGGCGGGGGCCAGGGGCCCAGCGGGGGGAGGGGGGGTGGCTGGAGTTGGGGTGTCAGGGGCCCGGCTGGGAGCAGGCTGGTTGGAGTTGGGGGGCCAGGGGCCCAACTTGGGAGGGGCTGGCTGGAGCTGGGGGGTCAGGGGCCCTGCTGGGGAGGGAGCTGTCTGGAGTTGGGGGGCAAGTGGCCCATCTGAGAGGGTCTAGCTGGAGTGAGGAGGGCAAGGGGCCAGCTTGGTAGGGAATTGGCTGGGGGAGTGAGGGGCCCTGTTGGGATGTGGATGGCTCCCCAAAGAGCGCACCCTCTAACTTACCTAGTGCTTGCTATCTTCAGAGGGCTTGTCTGGGGGAAGGCTTACCTCCCCCCTCATGAGCCCCAACTGGGTCAGGATGCCCAGCACGCAGACAGGGAAACCGAGTCGCAGA